TTAGCTGGTGGTCAACCAAGTCAGGAATTATTGCTTGGAGTTTAACATAGATATTTTTTGACTTTCTTTTCTGCTCAACATTCATCCACCATTGCAAGATTTATTCAAGAATACTTCCTAGATGGTGTTGAGTACTTCCTATTACATTCCATTCCTGTGTGATACTAAGATTGATTGGTTCCCCATCAACTATTCACTTAATGGTTTTAGTATACATTGATCACTGTTGCCTGCAATAGTTATTTCATTAAGGGTTGCAAAATAGTGATTTTAAAATTCTATTCTTTGTGCATTTATTTGTAGTCTTTGGTCACATCGAGTGTAATTCCTATTGGAAAAGTGGAATAAATGTTTGATTCCTTCCTTTTATTTACTAATTTTTTAGAGGAATGAATTGGTTGCCTAGTAATCACCAATGGTGACCAATTTTTTAAACTATAAACTCAAAGATTTTTCCATGTGGGTATTATCTTAGTCAGTTTTCTGTTACTATAACTTAATACCTGAGCCTGGGTAACTTATAAAGACAACGAATTGATTTCTTACAGTTATGGAGGCTGGGAAGTCCAAGGCCAAGAGGCCGCATCTTGGTGAGGGCATTCTTGCTGGCAGGGGCTCTCTGCAGAGTCCTGAGGTGGCACAGGGCATCACATGATGAGGAGGGTGCATGAGAGAGAGCCAATCCAGACCCAGATTCTAAAACAGACCCACTTTTGTTATAACTAACTCACTCCCATGATAACCTATGAATCTATTAATCCATTAAATCCATGAATGAGTTAATCCATTCATGTGGGCAGAGTCCTTATGGCACAATCACCCCTTAAAGGCCTCACCTCTTAATACTGTTACATTAGGGATTAAGTTTCAACATGAGTTTTGGAGGATTCAAACATTGAAGCTTTAGCAGGTATGTTCCAATCCATTGCAATTCTTTTTTTAGAGATGAGGTCTCACTATAATGCCCAGGCTGCTCTCGAACTCCTGACCTCAATCCTTCTACTTCAGCCTTCCAAAGTACTGGGATGAACCACTGTGCCTGGCTTATTATTCTTTTTTATGTTCAAATTGTCCCTTCAGATCAGCTCTTGTATCTTTTCAAAATGACCCCATTGCTCTTTGAAACCTCTTTTCTGGTACACAAAGATGTTCTAGATTCATTTTATATGCTTTAAAAAAAAAAAAAAAAAAAAAAGCCTATAAAGTCCAGACCTGGAATAAGCCATTTCTGCAAGAAGCCTTAGTTCCTCTTAATGAGAAGTGGTATTTTGAGACTACATCTGGTTGCTAGCAGCGTTCATTGCTACAGGAGTGCTCACTCGTTCTGTATTCTCATTACTTCTTGCCCTTTGAGTGGTTAGGGTTGGCAAATGCAAATTATTCTTTGCAGGTAGGTTTTTACTTACCTATTCACTTTTATATTTGATCACTTTTTTCCTTGCTAAAAATCACAGGTCCCACAACATAAAGGTAATCACTTATTTGCTTTTTTCTATATGTCTTTTTCTTTTTCCTGCCAACCTTTTTTTTTTTTTTGAGACAGAGTCTCGCTCTGTCACCCAGGCTGGAGTGCAATGGTGCGATCTCAGCTCACTGCAAGCTCTGCCCCCCAGGTTCATGCCATTCTCCTGCCTCAGCCTCTTGAGTAGCTGGGACTACAGGCACCTGCCACCATGCTCAGCTAATTTTTTTTGTATTTTTAGTAGAGACGGGGTTTCACCGTGTTAGTCAGGATGGTCTCGATCTCCTGACCTCGTGGTCCACCCACCTCGGCCTCCCAAAGTGCTGGGATTACAGGTGTGAGCCACCGCGCCTGGCCTTTTTCTATATATCTTTGTTTCAGACAACAATACCAAAGTACCACTGACATAAGAGAAATGGGTGAGATTGAGATTTTTTTTTTTTTTTTTTTTTTGAGATTCTTTTTGTTCTAGGAACATATCCCACTAGGAAAGTGCCATCAAAATATTATATTCTAAACTGATTTGAATTTTTTTTTTTTTTGAGCCAGAGTCTCACTCTGTTGCCCAGGCTGGAGTGCAGTGGCACAAATCTCAGTTCACTGCAACCTCCGCCTCCTGGGTTCAAGCAATTCTTCTACTTCAGCCTCCCAAATAACCGGGACTACAGGTGTGTGCCACCATGCCCAGCTAATTTTTGTATTTTTTTTTTTTTAGTAGAGATGGGGTTTCGCCATATTGGCCAGGCTGATCTTGAACTCCTGACCTCAGGTGATCTGCCCGCCTCGGCCTCCCAAAGTGCTGGGATTACAGGTAGGAACCACCGCACCCGGCCCAAAAATTTATTTTTTTAAAACTTCTTTAAAAATGATTTGTCTTTTTCTTTAGAGACAAGGTCTTGCTATCTTGGCTAAGCTGGTCTTGAACTCCTGGGCTCAAATGATCCTCCCACCTCAGCCTCCCAAAGTGCTGGGATTATAAGCATGATCCATTGTGCCTGGCCCTGAAATTCTTTATATTGTTGTGGCAGAATTGGAAGATAGCTTGACAAAGACGTCGTTTCCTAATCCCCAGGACCTTTGAATATAATGAGATATCACTCCTAGGATTATGTTATTTGACACAGTTGACCTTACGACAGGGATATTATCCAGCTAGACCTGACCTATCACATGAATCCTTAAAAGCAAAGAGCTCTCTCTGGCTGAAAGGGGAATTAAGGGGAAGCCAGAGAGATCAGGGTATAAGAAGGATTTGACACGCCTTTGCTGACTTTGAAGATAAGGGGGCCACATGAGGAAGAACTGCAGGCAGCCTCTGGGAGCAGAGTGTGGCCCCACTGCCAGCCAGCAAAGAAATGGGGGTTTCCATCCCACAGCGGCAAGGAACTAAATTCTGCTGGCAGCCTGAACAAGCTTGGAAGCAGAGTCACCTCAAGAGCCTCCATGTAAGAGCTCAGATTAGCCAACACCTTCATTTTGGCATTCACATGAGCAGAAAACCCAACTGAACCTGCCTGGACTTCTCTCTAAAGTGTGAGATTAAAAAAAAGTGAATGTTTCAGCAGGTGTGTTGGCTCACACCTGTAATCCCAGCGACTCGAGAAGCTAAGGCAAGAGGATTGCTTGAGGCCAGGAGTTCAAGACCAGCCCAGACAACATAACAGAGTGTTTTAAGCTGCCAAATTTGTGGTAATCATTTTGCAGTGATAGAAAACTAATAAAAGTTCTTATGCCACCAACTTGATATTCATCCTAGTTTTTCTTCAATTTTTGGAGGTTTTTTCTTTTTTAAGTTAACTTTTCACAAATTTGTAAAATACATACTTAGTTTCAAACACATACAGGAAGGAACCTTCCTAGAAACCTTGCTTTCTTTTTTATTCCTTCTGTTTGTTCCTTTCCCTTATTGGAAACCTTCTTTTTGTTGTTTTTGGTTTGTTTTGTTTTTCCACTTTTAAGTGTAAGCAAATACCTATATATTTATTTTCTTTCCTTTTCTCACATAAAAGATAACATGGGCCAGGCAGGGTGGCTCACACCTGTAATCCCAGCACGTTGGTAGGCCGAGGAGGGTAGATCATTTGAAGTCAGGAGTTCAAGACCAGCCTGGCCAACATGGTGAAAACCTGTCTCTACTAAAAATACAAAAATTAGCCAGGCAGTAGTGGGGTGTGCCTGTAATCCCAGTGACTCAGGTGACTGAGGCAGGGGAATCGCTTGAGCCTGGGAGTTGGAGGTTGCAGTGAGCTGAGATCGCGCCACTGTACTCCAGTATGGGTGACAAAGTGACACCATGTCTCAAAAAAAAAAAAAAAAAAAAGATAACCTATAACAAATATTCCTTCACCTTGCTTTTTTTCACTTAACATCTTTGATGCCACTACATGTTAGTGTATAGAGATTTTTTTTCATTCATTTGTAGCACTGAATCCTAACTTATACCTCTAATCCCCTATTGACAGACATTTGGGCATTTTAAATCTTCTGTAATTACAAATTTATCCCAAATATATAACGTTGCCTTTTATTGGCAACAGAAGATAAATGTGTACTTGAGGATTTTTTTTTATAGATCAAAAGATAAATGTACTTGACGATACTCTCTTCCCCTGACACAAAATATGTGGAATTTTTTCCAACACCAATCAATTCTCTGACACCAACTGGGTATCCAACAATTCAATTCAATTCCGACACTAACTCCCTGAGATAGTGCAGACTCCACAGATTAGGGACTCAGTCCCACACACTGTCCCCACTTCAGGCACCACATGAATGTCCAGGGCCTCCAGTACTTCTGATCGACTTGGCTTCAGATCAGGAGTTCCCATGGCCAATAATTTCCTATCACAGCCAACAGAGCTCAGGAAAGCACTTTACTTACTTTGATTACCGGTTTATTACAAAGGATACAATTCAAGGGAAGCCAAATGGAAGAGAGATGTAGGACAAGGCAGTGGTGCGAACTCAGCTCACTGCAACCTCCACCTCCCCAGTTCAAGTGATTCTTGTGCGTCAGCCTCCCATGTAGCTGGGACTACAAATGTGTGCCACCACGCTTGGCTAATTTTTGTATTTTTAGTGGGACAGGGTTTCGCCATGTTGGCCAGGCTGGTCTTGAACTCCTGACCTCAAGTGATCCACCTGCCTCAGCCTCCCAAAGTGCTGGGATTACAGGAGTGAACCACTGCACCCGGCCCAATAATGCTCATTTCAATATATCAGCCCTAGTGGATGACATCATGAAGTGGTCAGATACTTGAAATTACAGACAGGATCACTGCAAATGTGACATAGATATACAAATGTAGATCAAGTCACCTAACTTGTACTAGTAAATCTGATACCATGAGTGGCATTGTTAATAGTGAGGTGATTTCCAAAATACTGAACAACTCTTGGTAAGGTTTGAGTAAATCAAAGTGCAATCTTCCCTCAATTTACATAGTACTTGCATTCCTAGACAAATTGCTGTACAACAACACCACGCAAAAACAAAAACCTTCCATGCGTATATGTAAAACAGTTTGTTTCAGACTTAGAAAAGTACAGACAGTTTTTATTGTCACGTGTGAGAGGAACTGTTCTTTTTGTGTAGGACTATTTCATGTACTGCAAGATGTCTGATATCCTGGGCCCCACCCAATAAATGCCTGGGGTGTCCTCTAATCATTGTGACAAACCCAAAATACCTTCCAAAATGTCATATTAAGAACCACTGAGTTAGATGCTTTCTGTTCCAACTAACAGAGAAATAAACCCATACTGATTTAATAAAAAATATATATATATATAGATTGGCTCTTGTTTCTGATCAGTCCAGTGGCGCACCAGTTTCAGGGAAGTCTTCATCTGAGGTCAAATGGTTTTACCATTCTATCAGTGGAGGTGTACTGTAAACAAATAAATAGAAAAATTGATACATATTTTATAAATTTGGACACATTGTATGTAGAAAAAGAAGACAGCTATGAGACAGAGAGCAGAGATAAGAGAATTTCTTTTAGATTGGTCAGGGGCTGAGTGCAGTGGCTCACATCTATAATCCCAGCACTTTGGGAGGCCAAGGTGAAAGGATAGCTTGAGCCTAGGAGTTAAAGACAAGCCTGGGCAACATAGCAAGATCCCATCTCTAATCAAAAAAAGGAGAGATTGGTCAGGGAAGACTTCTCTGAGGAGGTGACATTTAAGCTGAGATGTGAAGGGCAGGAAGGGCTTGGCCTGTAAAGAGTGGGGGAAATAACATTCCATGTGGAACAAATAGCATACTTCACAATTTTGCTTTCACCAGTTTTATGTGGACTGCTAGACTGAAATGATATTTTACATAAAACATGTTTCATATATAAATTATTCAACACGCATGTGAGGCTCAGTTGGACAAGGCCTCTCATTTTAGTTTATAAGTCTTTGTGGATCTCTCTAAAACAGAATGGTTTATTAAACTAATTTGGGAAAGGAGAATTAGTGTGTATCTTTCTCTTTTTCTAAAAAAAAAATACATTCTTGCACAAAAGCAGTCACGTTTTTCACAATTATCACCTATACAATGATATACAGTGAAATAATTAATAACAATTTGTCTGTTTTCTCTGCATCTGACTGAATTCACTCATAGCTCAATATTAGCTCCAGAAGGGAAAAAAAAATCTTAAGACAGCAATTGAAAATGCATTTGTTGGCAGCAATTTCTATGCCTGAATGCACAGTAAGTTCTGAGCTTATGAGCTCAGAAAAAAGAAAAATCTTTGTGATAAATAATGTATTTGATAATGAGCAGCAGGAGAAAAAAAAAAGTCTTCTGTTGAAGAGTTCAAAATGAAATAGAGTAAGTATGGGAAAAGGTTGTTCAGTATGAAGGACATCTTTTGCATCATGAATGGGTATGGAGCCAAAACAGCCGTAACTGTTTATTTTTTACTCTCATTCTTGCCGTGCCAGTCCGTGGCATATGTTTTCAGACCTTTCGTGAATACCAATTTTCAAAAGGGTTTAGTTCTCCGAATTTATGACACTGGTGATTTAGTTACATGACCTCATTTGACCTTTTCAACTCTACAGATAGGAAGGTATGAGTATCCCCATTTTGTATATGAATAAGCTGAGACTCAGGAAGGTTAACTCACTCCCTCAGGCTCATAGAGCTTAGCCGACAGCTGAGCCAGTGTAAATTAAATAAATAACAGGGAGTTCAAAATAAGTGTCTAAAATACTCTTAAGAACAGAAAGCTTTAAGCTCCTTCAAGGGTCTGGCTTGCCGGGTGACCTAGACTCTAAGTGGAGTGTCAGTTTCCAGTTTTTGACCAAATGAAGCATTTATCCTATAAGAATATTAAGGCATCCATTTACTTTTTTCTCCCCATTATCCCATTTGTCCCCAGAGCAATGTGGGTGTTTGGCAGGTGCCAGACAGTAAATTACTGTTCTAAATGGTGCCTCAGTGGCCCAATAACATTAATAATAAGGAAGCATCTCCCACAGTGTCAATCTGTAGACAAGGGAATAATTAATGTATTTATCAAAGTAGATGGATTTCAGAGGAATGTGAATCCTGCTGTAAGCACAGCACCAGGGTTTTTTTGTCCTTTTTTTTTTTCTTTTGCTGAAGTTTAGTGAACTAGGCTTTATAACTTCTTACCTGATTATTTTGTTGCCCTGTTTGTCCTTCCTTCTTTCCTTTTTTAGCAGTTCTACTCTGTGCTTCAACTTTTCATCCCCTTATTAAGACTGCTGCATAGAAAACGTAGGAGGCTGGAGACAGGCAGGGAAAGTGGGGAGTGAGGAAGGCAAAACAAACATTCTGAGAAGGAACTGTTCCGTCCTCCTAGCTGACAGCGCCCGCTCTTTGTTTTGTGATGACTGCTCCCTGGCCTTTTGGCTCCGAGGGAGTGCAGGGCAGCAGTGTGAAGACCTGTTTACGTCCACTCCCCACTCCCCAGGGCGGATTCACTGTGGTATTCACAGAGCCCGGGACAGAGTCTGGCAGCACGCAGATGGATGCTCGTGCCCGTCGGCTGGATGAATGAAAGGTGAGCAGCAAAGGCGATACCAGGATCTTCCACGGCGGGACTGAAGGAGGAGAATGGGACTGTGCGGAGCCTGCGGGAAGAATCTGAAAGTGTCTGTGTGATGCAGAGAGACATGGAAAAGGGGACGTCCCAGCGGCTGGAACTGGGACGCAGGAACGGGAACAGGGAAGGCCTGAGTTAGGGACCACAAAGGTTTTCAGGAGAAAAGTGGGGCGAGCCGAGAGGGTAAGGGCGAGACAAAGAGCAGCAGCCGAGGCTGTTCGTGGGAAGAAATGGGAAAGAAGCAGCCGGGAGGGCGGGCGAGCTGACGGACGCGAAGGAAGGGGCGCGGGTGGGGAGGGGCGCCGGGAGCCGCGCGGGGCGGGGCGGTGCGGGGCGCTGGGAGGCGGCTCGGGGCTTTGGGGGCCGGAGGGGCCCGGCCGGGCGTGGGGAAGGCGGGGCGCGGGCGCCGCAAAGTTACTTGGCCTGCGTTTGCCCGGGTCCGCGTGCTGGTGGCTGGCCCGCGGGAGGAGCGAAGCGGGGCTCGGCGGGCTGAAACCCGAAACCTCCAGTCCCGGAGCGCGGCGGGGAGGAAGGAAGCGGCGGCGGCGGTGGCCGAGGCAGGGAGGCGGCTGGGCCGGGGCCTCAGCTGCCGCGGCAGCGGCCCCTCGGTGAGCACTCGGCGTGGGACGCGGTCGCGGGCCCGGGCCCGGGCGGAGAGGGAGGTCGGGATGGAGTCGGGCTAAACTCATTGTGCGGGGCTGAGGGCTCAGGGCGCGGGCCGGGAAGGGTCCCCGCCCCCACGGCGCTCTCCTTCTCCTCGCGCCCCTCTCAGAGGTTGGGGCTGTCCTCCGGCCGCACTGCGCCTTGCTTTGGAGAGCTGGAGCTCTTTGTGGGAAGATGTTGGGAGCGCGCCCCGCCCCTGCGGCCTGGGGCTTCTGAGAGGCCCACCCCATTCTACTGGGTGCAGCCCGCCCCCGTTTCTCCGGCACCGCCCGAGGCCCCCTACCCAGTCCGCTGGATGGGAGGGCGTAGGTGAGTGCCCGGGACTTGGCCGATGCGGGCCGCGCCCCCTGGGGCCAAGAGACTTCACGACCCGCTCAGGGCAAAGGGTGTGGGGAGAAGCGGTCACGCCCCTCCGCTGGAATCCGTGAGGACCAGGTGAGCAACCTTCTCCCAGCCGGCACTCAGGGCGCTGTCTCCCCGAGCCTGGGCGGACGGCGGATGGCGCGCCCAGAAGTGGCCCGGCGCCGCGGGGTGGGCGGCTCTGCCTCTCAGATCTGCGGGAGGGAGATTCGGCTGGTTCTTGGAAAGGGGAGGACTTGACCAGGACTTGACCAGCCCTTGGCGCCTTCTGGGCCAAGCTTAACCCCCGTGCAACCTTTGGACAAAGGCATATGGGATGAGAACGTTTGTTGGATAAGTGGGGTGTCTCCTGTGCTTCCTGGAGGTCTGCTTACCAGTAACCACACAGCTGCGCATTGGCATCGCTTTATATCACATCTTGGAGGCTATTTTTGCTCGTTATTGTACCTTTCATCCCTTTTGCAAAGTGCTTTCAAGAGCAGGTCATTTGATCCTCCTCCCTGTGAAGCCGTGAGGAGGTGTGTGGTTTTGGAGGGAAAGAACCTCAGTTCCTTGGTTGTCCAGTGGAGTCACTGATAACCTCAGGTGAGCCTGTCTCAGCGTGCTAGGAGCTTGGGGAGGATGGCCATCGTTGTGGCTCCTCCGTAGAGCCAGGCGTGGATTCAGCCCGGCCTCTTCTCCCCTAGTGACCTGGACCTCCAGATGAGTTCTGGAGAGCTACTGCTTCGGGGGAATAGGCGGTTTTCCCTTGTAATCTATTTTACTGCAGCTACTGGGAGCAAGTGAAGAGAGGCATTTTTCAGGCCCTCAGGGCAGAAAGAGGAGGTGGGAGGGACCTCAGGTCACAGAGAAAGAGGCTCTTCAACTGTAACTGGAATCCATGGCACCCATTTCTGTTACTTCTTCCAGAGCACCTCTCCCGGTCCTCCTCCACACCTGTCTTATTTTATATTTGTCAGGTGCTTACAAGCACTTTCATATACACTTCTTCATTCACACAACAGCCTTGTGAAGCTCTGCTAGCCCATTTGATAGGTAAGGAAACTGAGGCTCAGGAGAGATGAAGCATTCTTGCCCAGCTAAGTAAGCAGCCCAGATTGAACTCAGATCTTTTGCCTTGGTAATGCTTTTCACGTGGTTTCCTGATGGCACACAGGTGGGTCCTTTAACTCAGGGCTCCTCCCTGCCCTGTAGCTCCACCACCGTAACATCAAGAATAGAGACCCCTCATTAAGAGGCCTGCTTGACATTTTGGAACTAAATCCAAGGCCGCAACGATATCCAAACCGTTCTCTTTGTGTTGCAGCCTGGTACACTGGCAGTCCTCTGAGAGGTGAAGGAGCACTGTGTGGTCAGAGGGCTGTGAGCTCTCTGTTTGGGTTCCGAGGAAGACAGAATGGGCTGAACTGGAGCTGACCTAAATGTCAGCAAGAGGAGGTACAGTTCTGTGGTGTAAACTCCACTGCCAGTCGGGACCAGTCAGGAAGCCTGAGTGCAGGAGGCTGGTGGACAGGAGGGCTGAGTGGGAGCTGTGTGCTGCTAAGCCTGTCTCCAGTAAGGGGGCAGCTGCAGGTGCGGTAGGGCTCCATCACATGGTTGCCTGATCTTAGTTTTGGGGGAAGCTGTAAATTTTTACGGAAAAAAGGCTTCATATGTTTTTAAAGATAGCAACTGATTCAAAACATTTTTTTAAATGTGCATGCAGTTTAACCAAATTATGTGTGCAGGCTGCTTGTGACCTGCAGACTGCCCTTTTGCATCTTCTGTGTGAGACCTTTGGAAGCACTGACTGTCATTCTGAGATGCAGTAAAGCATGACAGCAGGGGAGAAATGGTGTCTTCTTGCTGTTTTTGTATAAGAACAAAAAACATCAACAGAACTAGAGATAGCTATCAATGATACCTGGAGTTTGGAGGAGTGTTTGACTTTATGACTCCATACTTCATTCATTCACCCAGTACTCATCTATGATTCTGTTTCTACCCCAAGAGAAAAGGCTTACAACTAGTTTTAATCTATTTCCTTGCACATTTTATGTGCTCAGTAGGGGAGAGGACGGCATTCATGGCACATATGTTTAGGGAGTGCTGGAGCATGAAAGAATTTGCAATTGGCCAGGGGTGAAACATGAGGAGGTATATTTCAATTTTATTTTGGTTTGTGTTTGTTTTATACTCAAGCAATGGGTGAGAGAACACTGTGTTAAGAGCACGATCTGAAGTCAGCCTACCTCCCAGCCCTGCCCCTTATAAACTTGTGACCTTAGGTAAATAATGTAAAGCATTCATGGAATATAGTACTTTTTCAAAACTAAGAGCTGTAAAATATTTTTAAAACATAGTAACATATAGGAAAATAAATTAAATTCCCTTCCACCTCTTCTCTATTCCTTCTCCCCACCTTTGAGATAACCACTGTAAATGTCTATCTTTTTAGGTCTTTTTCAATGTGCTTAATACACTCACCAAGCCTGGAAACATAGGCGAATATATAGTTTATTGATATTATATAAAACATGATAAAATAGTATTATCTACATTTCTGACTTTAGGACCAACCTGAATATATTGAATATACTTGAAAAAATACATAAATGAACCTGGGCATGGTGGTGCATACCTGTAGTCCCAGTTACTTGGTAGGCTGAGGTGGGAGGATTGCTTGAGCCTGAGAGTTCAAGTCCAGCATGGACAACATAGTAAGACTCTGTCTGTTAAAAAAAGAAAAACATAAATGGGGTTATATAATAATGCTCTGTGGTTTACTTTTTTGATTTAACAGTATGACTTAGAAGTCATTCAGTAATAATAACAGATACAATGTACTTCATTCTTTTTAATAATAACATAGTATTTCATAGTGTTGGTTCCCTATAAATTATTTAAACATTCCCCTATTGATGGACTCTTAGATTGGCTTCCAACTTAATCTAGATTTTCTGTGTATCTTTATCTGTGTACATGTACAATATTTCTGGGTAAAAATTGTTCCTGGATGTGAGATATGTGGATCAAAGGAAATGTACATTTTAAGTGGTTATTTACGCAGAGTTCTCTTTGTTTCTTTAGGTCTGGAAGATTGTGTAGAAAAAGAGACTGAATTATTTACTGTATTTATTTAAGGTTATTTGTTTGAGAGTAAGTAGTGAATTGGAAAGGTATAGCATTCAAAAGTTATAAAAGGCAACATCTCCCTCCCACTCTTCTTTCCTAGCCCTCTTTTTCCTTTTTTGGATGTAACTAATTTTACCAGTTTTTGTGCATTCTTTCAGAAATAGTCCATGCACCTGCAAGCAAATAAAATGTACCTTCTTGGCTGGGCGCAGTGGCTCATGCCTGTATGTAATCCCAGCATTTTGGGAGGCTGAGGCAGCAGATTATCTGAGGTCAGGAATTTGAGACCAGCCTGACCAACATGGTGAAACCCCATCTCTACTAAAAATACAAAAATTAGCCGGGCATGGTGGTGGGCACCTGTAATCACAGCTACTTGGGAGGCTGAGGCAGGAGAATGGCTTGAACCTGGGAGGCGGTGGTTGCAGTGAGCCGAGACCGTGCCATTGCACTCCATCCTGGGCAACAAGAGCAAAGCTCCGTCTTAAAAAACAAACAAACAACAACACAAACAAACCCAAAAATGTACCTTCTGTTTTCTCTCTTTCAGAAATAAATATGATAGCATATTATATGCCCTGTTCTACATAGGGCATTAGAAAAGTTTAACCTAGATCTTGGAGACCATTTTATATCAGTTATGTGCATTTTATTTTTATTGCAGGCGTGTGCCACCACGCCTGGCTAATTTTTGTATTTTTAGTAGAGAAGGAGTTTCACCATATTGGCAAGGCTGGTCTCAAACTCCTGACCTCAGGGGATTTGCCCGCCTCGGCCTCCCAAAATGCTGGGATTACAGGCTTGAGCTATCGTGCCCGGCCAGTTATGTGCATTTTAAATGCTGATGTATTCTTCCAAGTTTACCCTAAATTGATTGCTTACACTTCCTCTAATTCCTCCATCAAAATCTTTGCCAGTTTTTTTAACTGAGTTGTTTGTAATTTCATCAACTTGTGAGGCTCTTTCTAAATTCTGGACTTTAATCCTTTTCTTGTTAATAAATCAACTATCTTTATGTCTTCTTCCCCAACTTTGCTTATTGTACCTTTGATTGTCCAGAAGTATTTAATTTTTATGAAGTTAAATCTCTATCATTTTTCTTTGTTTTCTTGTTTTCTGTCTTGCTTAGGAAGTCCCCTCCTATTTCAAGAGTACATTTTCCTAAGCTTTCTCTTTTCTCTCCATTCTTTCTTTGCTTTTCTCCATTTAAAAATATTTTAAATTTCTGCTTTTCCTTTATGTATTTTTCCTCTTTGTCACTTTAGCCAATCTATATTTTCTTTGACTTTTATAGTAACTTTTATTTTTTCTTTTTCTAACCAAGTCTTAAGGATGAGCTCTTCTCCAGGTGGGTGAGGAGGGAGAGATGGCATTCTGGGCGGTGAGAACAGTGTACAGAGCCACAGAGTTGAGAACAACAGTGAGTGTTTGGAGAACTGTGAGAATTCAGGATGCTCGAGGTAGAGGGTGTCTGCAAATGAATAAATTCTGCAGGTGGCAGGGAATAGCATGAAATGGTCTGGCTGTGTAGGGGCCAATCAGGCTGGCAGTAGTTGGGAGGAGAGATTGGTGCGGGGCAGGTGAGATCGAAGATATGAAGAAGAGAGAAACACCTGTTAGTAGTCCAGGGAAAAGATGGTGAGGCTCTGAGCTGGGGTAATGGCAGTGAGGATGAAGTTTTGACTTAGAACTAGTGATGCACTGGAAGTCTGTGATAGGAAATGGAACCAGTTGCTTACGTTATCTCATTCAATCCTAGAGAGTCAGTATGGAAATCCACGGCTCAGACATGTTCATTCATACACCCATGGTGACAGTCAGAAAGTGTCAGTCAGGGCCTAAGCCCCATCAGGATTCCCTTAAGGAGTGGCCTAGGATGTCCTAGGCTTCTCTCCTGAGAGATTGGGTGGGTGGTGATGTTTTATCTAGGGTAGAGAAAAACATGAGGAATAGCATAGTGGGATGGTAGCAGCAGAGATGTGAATTCCATTTTGTGCATGTTATATCTGAGGTGCCTGAGTGTGACATATGGGAGACAACATCTACAAAGTGGGTGGATGTGAATCTGGAGCACCAAAGAGTTTCTAGGCTATACATGGAGATTTTGGAGTCATCAGTGTTTAAGTGGGCATAGAGAGGGAGCATATAGTGAGAAGAGGTATCAGATAGGATTCTTTCTTTTGCAAGTGGTAGAATATCCAGTTCAAATCCACTTAAGCAAAAAGGAAAGCTATTGGCTCATGTCATTAAAATGCTCGAGTGTATTTGGCTTCTGGTGTGGGTTCAGGGTTCAAGTGATTTTTAAAAGGACCCATTTTCTCCCTGGTTTTTGACCTTTCTTTATGCTAAGATTCTGTGTGGTGATCCCCAGCAGCTCTGGCAAGGGGGAAAGCTGCAGGTTCAAATCCAATGTGAAAGGGATACCGTCCTCCCGGCTGTTTCAGCAACACTGTCATTACGTCAGAGGAAGTTGGAAGATGCTGACTGGTGAGGCATAAGTCATGTGTCCCCATCCATGAAGCCACATGGATGCGGTGTGTGAAAAGGGTGGGTCTCCAGAGGAGCAACTGCTAGACAAGGGTAAGAGATATTGAGGAGGCTGACAGTTAATTTCCTCTGTAGATGAGAAAGGAAGAAATAGTGCCCCAGAGGGCATCTTGGAAAACTGCAGCACTTACGGTGTAGGATCATTAGCAGTAAGCAAGACTAGTAGGGAGCCAAAGGATGGAGAAACAGGAGAGAGGAGCTCAGGGGAGACAAGGGAAGAGGGAGTCTCAAAAAAAATGAAAGGAGTCAGAAGTGTCAGATGCTGCCGAGAGCTCAATAAGGGCCCATTGGGTTTGGCTAGGATGTTATGGTGACCTTGCCCAAAGCAAAGAGTCATTTAT